TCTGTGTTCACTCGCATGTTTGTTTGTTGCTTATCAAATTAACATTGCATATTGCTATTCGTAATTGCGCGATTGTATTAAAGTAAACGCAAAGTGTACGTACGTCCATCATTTGATTTTGAGACGTGCGTTACGTGATCGAAAACCATGTTAATTGTGTACGTACTTGCATTTACAAAATTTTTCCTAATTACTCGACCGCATTGAAATAATGATGAAAGATTTTAGAACAAGACGATATAAAGTAACATCACACGATGAGGCAGTATCACGCTTGACACGAGAGGGGCTATCGAGTCCGCTTGTAGATATAACGTGGTAGATATTAGCGACTCTTCATTCAAGGAATGACGTTTGCCCATTATTTACTGTCTTGAGCGGTTAACGTCACTGCAGCAACGTGCGTCACTGCAGCATCTTTCTCCTCTTCTTCTTCTTCTCTTTCTCGCTCCTTCTCGATTCGCGTCAATTTCCGTTGCCAGAAATGCGCGAGATTTCGCAATATAAACGCCAAACGCGTTAGGCTCCTAACGCAAAATTTATCAAAGTCATCGCGTCGGGTTGGGAGTCCAAGTTTTTTTTTCTCTCTACTTTACTATATTATTTCCTTTGGAATTAATTTACACGTCACGTAAAAATTTAATTTATATACGATTACAATACTGTTGCAACAATCAACTACAAATATAGATATATGTATATTTGTAGTGCGCGCGTATACGTACATATATGTACATGCACGTATTATGGCATATATCAACTATATGCGATTGATAACTCTTGAGCTATAAGAATATTGTTACTGAATAATAAAAAAAAAACAAAATGTGATTTGCGAGTGTATAAGAATTTACGAAATTATATAGGAAGACTGTTTGAGATGAGAAGACTGTTTGAATTGGAATGAGAAAACGTATGGTATGAGAAAAATACCTGATATATTTATTAAAAATTGTCATCGAAGAGAATTAGCTACGATGTGACTTTTTTCCCCTTAAATTATCGATTTTGTAAGAAATGGAAAACTTGTGTAAAGCAATAACGCGCGGTAGTCGTTAGTATCTACATACAATACATATATGATGTACGAGTATATCTGATGTATATCTGGTCGATCAAGTCTAGGGGCCCACAATTAATAACTGAATCGTCAAATAAATTGTACACACTATGTTTAAATTGTTAAACTATAACTTATTGTCGCACTAAAAAAGAACGTACGAAACGATACAATGATATATATATATTTGTATATGCGACCAATACGTTAGAGAGATTACAACTATAATTAAAGACGAGGTTACTCTCGAGATGCTAGCAACTTTTGAATTTGTACGTTTTTATATTCACATAAAAGTTAAGCGGGGTACATATAGATTTAATTGAAAATTAACGCTTTCCGTGCGTGCGCGCTAAGAAAAGTAGAAGATCAATCAAGTCATAATGTGAATATGTTTCTAATAATAATTATTATTATTAATGCAACAGAGTTTGATGTGTTTAATTGCAGAAACAGTTGCAGCGGGTACTGTTACGGGACTTTACAAACGTCAGGATTCCACGAGCTACAGAAGACAGCGACGAGGAAAACGCACCGAGACGAATTTGTCCGAACGCGCATCCCTGTGGATGGGCGGTCTACAATCCTTATACGCGTAACATTGAATATTTCATGAGAAACACGTGAGTGTGTGTTATTACTATAGTAACTATTATACATGTATATTTTTTTGTATTACTATATTAACTAACTGTACGATAATGTTAAAAGCATTCCGATACGCGTATCTCCTCTCGAGAACAGATCCAGAGATGTATTTAATTTAAATGTAAAAATGTAAAAATAATCATCTTTTAAATGTACAAACTTAAATGGAAAAGTATAAAACGTAAGAGAAAATATTTTATTAGATACAGATAGAGCGTGGATGGACAGAGGTTTGCGGGATATATGGAAATTAATATTTATATAGACGTATAAAAAGGAAGATGGCGCGAATTATTTACAATTTCTTATATAATATTTCTCTCTCTAATAATTTCTTCTCTTCACTTGATTTGTACAGTTGTGAATGCCCGGATGAAAGTTACAAGTGCGTGCGCGTTGGAGACGATCTCTCCGCGAGTGCGTACGTATACCGTTGCCGCCAAAATACGACAGCAGAGGACATTGAGTCTCCCTCTCTCGATGACACCCTCTGAGACGAGCATCTCATCAGAGATCTCAGCATCTCATTATCTCGTCATCGGTACCTACTTATATCACGTGTCACGCCAAATCTGCAGTTACCGCCATCGTCGTCGTGATCGTCTTCACGATTCGTCGCATAACTCCAGCTCTTCGAGTTTTCGATAATACATCTTTACCGTACATTTTGAATGAAAGTGATTCGCACCACACCATTTGTTTTGTTACAAAGAAGATTGTGATCGAACGATTGTTACTCGCGATCGTGCTAAAGTGATCCTTATTATATATGTATATTGTCAGAAATTAAAATTATTACAGGTATAAACGGCGCACTACCACCACAGGCGCGACAGCCTGGCCATGCGATAGTGAATTTCCTTTCAATTGTCGGCTTAACAATTTTACCATCGGGAATAAACTTTTAATGCGATACGTGTGCACGCACACACGCACACACACGCGCGCGCGCGCGCACGCACACACACACACACACACACACACACACACACACACACGATTATAAATTTTCCAATTTTTGGAAACTCGCGCGCTTGGTCGACGCTTGTCGCGTATATGATTGAAAACCATAACGAATAGCGGCAATTAAAAATCAATTAATTCATATCGAGCCATGTGGTTTATATATATATTTTTATCTACTTTTGTTTATATTATTGCAATGTGTAATGTATTTCAACTTTCATACTCATATATGTATATCGATACAAATGCGTCTTCGAGAATTGATTTGCGTGTAAAACACATATGTCACACCAACAATCTTAAAAAAATTCTCACTAACTTTTGATTTACTCCCAATATATAAAATTGTTAAATTGTTTATATTATTATGTTTAGCCAAAAAGTAGTTACTCAGCCATTGGTCAACATATAAATTATCCTCATATTTGATTTGGTAGAAAGCGTAAAATCAAATGCATCAATCAATTCGATATATTAAATTTGATATATTAAATGCATTAAATAGCTATAAAATGATACGGATGAATACGGGCCTTTGACAACATTCGCGATAGCACTTTCCTTACATTTTCTTACCTTTCTTTGTACTTAACCAAATATCCAAAAAATAATTCTCTTTTTTCATATAATAATAGTTGTGTAGTAGTAGTAGTAGCAGTAGTAGTAGCAGGAGCAGCAGCAGCAGCAGCAGCAGCAGCAGTAATAGTAGTAGTAGTAGTAGTAGTAGTAGTAGTAGTAGTAGTAGCAGCAGTAGCAGTATCGTAGCGATAATAATAATAAAAATAATAATAATAATAATTTGATAATAATATATTATTTATAACGAGAAAACACTTATTACGGTCGCTTTATCTGCTACTTGACAATCGTGCAAGTGTTGATATATAAATACAAATATGATTGCAACTTATTTTATCCGTGACCTTTAGCTTTAATCGCACGGGCAAAGTTGTCGAGCTATAAAGCCGTGAACAAAGCAGATCGTAAGCCGAATGTAGCATCGTATCGTACAATCCTTCAAGCACTATAAGGAGTGAAAATGAATGTAAATCAAATTATACAACGTATGGCTGACTATATACGTAATGAAAAATTTTACATATAAAATGACATTACCGGTTTTGGTTGATCCACACAATGGGACATAATTTCTCTTGAAAGCTATGTTACCGACATACATATACATATAATAAAAATTTACGAATAATTTATAGATAACGTTGACGTGAAAACATTCAATTTGAGATTCAAAGCGTGCCATAAAGTAAATTTCTCTACAGTATCGGTACGTTTAGGTCTCAATCTCGAAATGCAGCTGAGGCCTCACAGTTTTCCGGCTAAAACTTTAATCAGTGACACTTTAATTAGTGTCAAGTAAACGTGCCTAACAATAAGAAATAGATCAAGTATTTCAGTTTGTTGTATTCATAACGCAGTATTTCACTTGTTATGTAACATACAGGAAATGTAAGTTATCTATTATTACGATTAAATATTGATATGTCATTGTATAACTATTAATATAATATTGTCTAATTTTATCATTTTTAATATAATAAAACAAAGTTGTAATACTTTTCGCGACTTTTCATTTTGCATAACATATCATTATCTCTCCTCGATATCGCGTATACTTGCAGAAATAAAGCAGGTGAAAAACAATGAAAAGCACAATCAAGTACAAATAATTTTTTACTGTTTATTTATTACGGGGCAGAGGAAGGGGCGCTCGAGGACGACATCACAAGACAAAGCTCCTGTCAGCGCAAATTCCATCGACGCGATCTCAGGCTTAAATCGGTTCATCGATTTTGCAAACAAAAATATGTTTAAACGGATATTTTGAAAAAAAGTTGCGTATACAAGCATATATAAGAGGAAGAGCAAGCCAAGTTGTACATATACGGATAGTTATGGAAAAAATTATCGACTAAAGTAAAATGATAGCTTTTCACTATTTAGTTTATTAATAATTTGTGTGCAAAATATATATCAACATTAAATTATTATTTCGAGTAGTAAAATTGCCTGTACATTTTTATTTTTCATACACATATTTAAAAAAATTAGCATTTTTTTTGTAAAATACAGTAATATATAGTCAAGAGTCATCAGATATCAGGAAGACCACACTTCGTTTCATTCTCGCCTTCTCTCTCTCTCTCTCTCTCTCTCCTCTCTCTCATTTGGTGTTGAGATATTAATTGACCGGATAGAAAAATAATGTATAAAGAAAGAAATAAATAAATGGCGATATGTTTAGTTTAAATTTGTTGACAATTTATATGAAATACAAAAAACGGATACGTTATCCATGACATTTTAATTTAAAGCAGAAACTATTGAAAACTAATCAAGGTTGTATCATGAAGCGTCTCCAAATAAATTGTAAATTTATCTTGAACATTTCACCATTTATTTTATTCATTCTCTCTCTTATTTTCTGCTTTTTTTTTCTCTTTTCCTCTTATTTGTCCTCCCTTCTCTCTGCTTCCTTTCTATTTACTTCGCTTGTGAGGAAATGCTTCAATAAATATACAACCACAATGTCGTATTATGAAAATTACGGTATGTATAATATATATATATATTACGACTTACATTATATTATATTATAATTAAATATTTATCTTATATCCTTTTTGGCTATCTTATCCCCTAAGTTTTTCATCGACGAGAGATATAATATACATATAGTTACCATACAGATGTGTTCCGAGAGTTGACAAAAATATGACAAATGAACGAGACAAGTATCGCATTCTTTGTTAATTTATGAATTGTTGATCGTTTATCACGGCATTCGTGTAACGGACGTGATCATTTTGTTCCCAAATATGAACCACGCACGAACTTTTCTTGAATATTGTTTTACTAAAAAGAAACAAATTATGTGGCGATTGACGTAATTAGAAGCAAGTTCATTAACGTCCACCTATGTACATGCAATAATGTACTACTTCATTGACGGCTGTTATCACAATTCAATTTGCAGATCATACACTAGATTTAAGAATGTGCTATAAAATATATACTATTGAGAAAACGCATTTTATATTACATTGATATTATACGCTACAAAATAGACATAATAACAACCAGGCATATACGATCGTGCGTGGTGCGCGCGCGTGTGGAGGTCAATGACTTTCCGGCTAATTTTTCATACCGCATAAACTTCCAGCACGCTCGATTCTATCGCACTCTGTCCAGGAACATTACCGTTTTTACACCTTTGTAAAGATGATTCTACGTTACAAAGCCTGGAAGGCAAACAGAAACGTAAATTCTAAAGCTTTCTTTGTACATGTTTATACATGTATGCGTATGTACATATATATATATTGTGCGTGTATACATGAAAAAATATATATATATATGTGTGCGTATATATATATAT